TCTTATTACAGTCTTTGTTTTAAAATCTAGTTTGTCTGATATAAGGATGGCCACCCCAGCTTTCTTTTGGTGTCCATTAGCATGGTAAATGGTTTTCCACCCCCTCACTTTCAATCTGGGGGTGTCTTTGGGTCTAAAATGAGTCTCTTGCAGACAGCATATTGATGGATCTTGTTTTTTAATCCAATCTGATAGCCTGTGTCTTTTGATTGGGGCATTGAGCCCATTTACATTCAGGGTAACTATTGAAAGGTATGAATTTAGTGCCATTGTATTGCCTGTAAGGTGACTGTTACTGTATGTTGTCTGTGTTCCTTTCTGATCTTTGCTGCTTTTAGGCTCTCTCTTTGCTTAGAGGACCCCTTTCAATATTTCTTGGAGGGCTGGTTTCGTGTTTGCAAATTCCTTTAGTTTTTGTTTGTTCTGGAAGCTTTTTATCTCTCCTTCTATTTTCAATGACAGCCTCGCTGGATATAGTATTCTTGGCTGCATATTTTTCTCGTTTAGTGCTCTGAAGATATCTTGCCAGTCCTTTCTGGCCTGCCAGGTCTCTGTGGATAGGTCTGTTGCCAATCTAATATTTTTACCATTGTAGGTTACATATCTCTTCTCCCGAGCTGCTTTCAGGATTTTCTCTTTGTCTCTGAGACTCATAAGTTTTACTATTAGATGTCGGGGTGTTGACCTATTATTATTGATTTTGAGAGGGGTTCTCTGTGCCTCCTGGATTTTGATGCCTGTTTCCTTCCTCACATTAGGGAAGTTCTCTGCTATTATTTGCTCCAATATACCTTCTGCCCCTCTCTCTCTTTCTTCTTCTTCTGGGATCCCAATTATTCTAATGTTGTTTCGTCTTATCGTATCACTTATCTCTCGAATTCTGCCCTCATGATCCTGTAGTTGTTTCTCTCTCTTTTGCTCAGCCTCTTTATTTTCCATCATTTGGTCTTCTATATCACTGATTCTCTCTTCTGCCTCATTTATCCTAGCAGTTAGTGCCCCCATTTTTGATTGCACCTCATCAATAGCCTTTTTGATTTCGACTTGGTTAGATTTTAGTTCTTTTATTTCTCCAGAAAGGGTTTCTCTAATAACTTCCACGCTTTTTTCAAGCCCAACTAGTATCTTTAAAGTCATGATTCTGAACTCTAGGTCCGACATCGTACTAATGTCCGTATTGAGTAGGTCCCTGGCTGACGGTACTACCTCTTGTTCTTTTTGCTGAGGTGATTTTTTCGTCTTGTCATTTTGTCCAGAGGAGAATAGATGAATGAGAGAACAAAATGCTAACAGGTTTACAACGTCCCCAGCAAATATACTGTATACAAATCAGAAAAGACCTGAAACCAGGGGAAAAGAAAGGGAAAGTAAGAAAAAAGAAAGAGAAAAAAAAAGATAAAAACAAAAACAGAACAATACAAAAAAAGCAGAATATGATCAAATATGATCAGGCTAGTGCATAGATCAGTGCCACACACGAGATTTTGGGCGTATTTTGGTCTGTTAGAAAAAAGTGCCTCCTAAAATTTTAAAGGAAGAAAGACATATATGTACAAAATAAGGATTGATACAATGAAGGGATAGAAGATGACTGTAAAGATGAAAATTACAAAAGATTTTATAAAAGGACTTGATAAGATAAGTTGTTTGAAAAAAGAAAAAAGACTTAAGAAAAAAAAAGAAAAAGAAAAAAGGGAGAGAATGTGATCAGGCAGGAGCCTAGAACAGAGCCATACACTAGTGATTTAGGGTATATTTTGATCTGTTAGAAGAAACTGTATCTCAAAATTTTAAAGAGAGAACAACTTATATATATATGCCAAAAATAAGGGTAACTACTATGAAGGGATAAAATATGACTCTAAAGGGCGCCTGGGTGGCTCAGTTGGTTGAGCGACTGCCTTCGGCTCGGGTCATGATCCTGGAGTCCCGGGATCGAGTCCCGCATCGGGCTCCCCGCTCAGTGGGGAGTCTGCTTCTCCCTCTGACCCTCTTCCCTCTCGTGCTCTCTATCTCTCATTCTCTCTCTCTCAAATAAATAAATTAATTAATTAATTAAAAAAATATGACTCTAAAAATGAAAAATAAAAAGTTTTTTTTAAAGAGATTGATAAGATGTTGGTTGAAAAAGGGAAAAAGAAAAATAAAAAAAAAACAGTTAACAAAAATTAACTTTGATGAACTAATGAATCATGGTAAAAAAAAGCCATGAATTCTATGTGCAGTATTCCCCTAGCGCTGGAGTTCTCCCGTTCTCCTTGATCGGTAAACTTGGTCTTGGCTTGCTGGCTGTTCGTGCTGATCTTCTGGGGGAGGGGCCTGTTGCTGTGGTTTCCACATGTCTTTGCCGGAGGCTGAATTGCCCCGCCCTTGTCGGTCCGGGCTAAGCAAGCTGCTCGGGTTTGATCTCAGGAGCTTTTGTTCCCTGCAAGCTCTTGGTACAGCCTTGGAAGACCAGGGCAAAAATGGTGGCCTCCCAATCTCCACCCGGAGGAGCTGAGAACTCGGGGCCCCGCTCCTCAGTGCGCCACAGAGAAAAGCAGTCACTCCCTTGTCCCCAGTCTCCAGCTGCTCTCCGCGCTCACCCGGCCTGTGACCGAGCGTTGCTATCTCTGGCACCCGACCCCGTGTGGAGTCTCCAAACCCAGCAGATCCCTGCAGTGCGTTCCCGCGCCGCTCCTCCCAGGGGAGGGAGGGGAGCCTCCCCGGCTCTGCCGCTTGTTGGGTCCCTGCTGGAGAAGCAGTGGCCTGACTGGGCCGCGGATCACAGTTTATGGCCACCCCAAGCTGAGAGCCCGCGCCTCGGTTCCGTCTCTGCAGCCAGCTTCCCCGCTCCTATACCTGGGAGCTCTGGCGCACTCAGGCACCCCCGGTCTTTCTGTGACCCCGAGGGTCCTGAGTCCACACTGTCCTGCGAGGGTTCCACCCCCCGCTTAGCCACTGCAGCGACGTCCCTCAGCGGAGCCGACTTCTAACAGTTCCGATTTTGTGCTCCGCGGCTCTAGCACTTGCCAGAAGTGGCCGACGGAGGCCCCTCCCCCGCCGTCTATCCTCCCGAGTATCGCCTCGGATTCACTTCTCCGCATGTCCTACCTTCCAGTAAGTGGTCGCTTCTCTGTTCAGAGAGTTGTTGCTACTCTCCTCTTCGATCTCCTGTTGAGTTCGTAGGTGTTCAGAATGGTTTGATCCCTATTCAGCTGAATTCCTGAGACCAGACGAAATCCAGGTCTCCTACTCCTCCGCCATCTTGCTCCCCCGACTCTAGGTTTTGGCTTGGGTCATGATCTCAGTGTCCTGGGATAGAGCCCTCTGTTGGACTCCACACTCTGCAGAGAGTCTGCTTGAAGATTCTCTCTTTCCCTCTCCCTCTGTCCTCCCGTCCTGCCCCACTCGCGCGCTCTTTCTAAAATAAATACATAAATCTTTTTTTTTTAAGTAGGAGATAACACACACATGTGCGTGCTATCCCACGTATACTAAGAATATCTCTGTAAGGAGAAATGGATCTAATCAAGGCTGTTGCCTCTGGGTGGGTTTAGAGGCAGGGTTCTTGGGTCAGACTATTCTTTTACACCCTTTGAATTTTGAACCAGGTATTTCATTTTTTTAAAAGATTTTATTTATTTATTTGACAGAGACACAGCGAGAGAGGGAACACGAGCAGGGGGAGTGGCAGAGGGAGAAGCAGGCTTCCCGCCGAACAGGGAGCCCGATGGATGCGGGGCTCGATCCCAGGACCCCGGGATCATGACCTGAGCCGAAGGCAGACGCTCAATGACTGAGCCACCCAGGCGCCCCGATATTTCATATTTTAAAGTGTAAACAAAATTAATGCCTAAAATAGTTAGGAAGACTATAGCAAATGGAAAACAGGTGTCATTCAGTGTGAAGTGGGAACAGCAGGATACCGAAGCGTCTGTTTCTCAGTGCTGTGGTCGTCCCTGCAATTGGGCAGTGAGAACTCAAGAAGTCTGTGTTGTTGCGTTCTGTTGCTCTGCACTGTGGGGTATTTTCCAGTGATGGTGGTGGTGGTGGAGAAGGTGCCTACCCCCATCCCCTCCACCAGTCACCCCATTCTGAGATCCAGGCTGCTGACCATCAAACTTTGGGGAAATTGGAGCGAGCAAGCACGTTCCCCATCCCAGTTTACCTCCGGCTCCTGCTGCAGTCCCTCCATCACTGCAGGGAGGTGGTGGCCTCCGTCCCCCTGGTGCAGAAGTTTCCGACTCTCTCAGGACACCCCAGTTCAGATTCCCCAAGTAGTCCTCCCCACTCGTCCCTCAGCCCCCAGCCTTCTGAGAGCTCCGCGCTCCTCAAGCTCCTCAGCTTACGGCCAAGATCACTAACGAGACCCTGGGGCTTTGGATGAAGCCAGACCCCTAAGTGGGCCCTGGGAAACCTATTAAGTCACTCTTTGCTTATGGCGAGTGTCCCTGGGAACAGAGGTGGAGATCACGGGAGAAGAGGGGGAACGATGTGGTACAGCCGGGATGCCCCCCATTTTCTACCAAGTCCTTCTACAGTCCACTGCTACTTTATGATTTGTATCCACAGAGGAACTGCTATTTGATCTGGGCTGTGAAGAATGAGCAGCTTTCCAGGTGGGGAGGGACGCTCTGATGTGGAGAAGGTGCGCGCAGTCAGGGAGAGGTGGGAGACGGGTGGCACATGCGGGTGTGGACTGCTGCGTGGCTTGTGGGGGAAGGCGTGGCCAGGAGATTGGGGGACCGACAAGGCCTGCGGGGTCTGTGTTGCGATGGCCGGAACTTGCCCTTCTTCCACCCAGGATTCAGGTCACCTACTCAGCCCAGACTGGATCTCTCCCCTCCCAGGCATCACTGCTGGGACGCATATTCCCCCATCCAGGATAGCAGGGTGAGCAAGGCACCCAGACAGCCAAGATGCTGAGGATTTACTTCAGGCTGCCATTTACGGTCTGGTGGCCCCAAGTCTGGCTTGAATGAATGAGTTTTCAAATTTTGGGTTTTTTTTCTCCGAGGATGCCACAGAAGATCGGGTGAGAGTGCCAGAGACTGAGTGCAGAGCCCCTGCTGGAATTCAACTTTATTTTTTTTTAAAGATTTTATTTATTTATTTAACAGGGACTGTGAGCGAGGGAACACAAGCAGGGGGAGTGGGAGAGGGAGAAGCAGGCTTCCCGCGGAGCAGGGAGCCCGATGTGGGGCTCGATCCCAGGACCCTGGGATCATGACCCGAGCCGAAGGCAGATGCTTAATGACTGAGCCACCCAGGCGCCCCAGGAATTCACCAGCTGTAAACCCATGTTTTCAGTAGAGAGGAAATCCCACAAGGAGGGGGCTCTCAGGTCTAAAAGCCTGAGGGACATAGGAGACTGTCCTCCGCTGTCTGTCTCTTTGTCTCTTGTCTGTCTGTCTCTCCATCTCTGTTTCTCTGTCTCTGTCCCTCTCTTCCTTCCTGTCTTTCTTTTTCTCCCTCTCTGTCTCTGTCTGGGCCTCTTGGCCCAGAGCCTGATGAACCCCCAGGGGAGGGATGCTCTGCCAAAGGCGCGTGTCTTCCCTCCCGCTCTGCCTGCCGCTGCCCTCAGCAGTTCCCTCTGCCTGTCCCTCATCGTGTGCCTCGTTCCGTTTCTGCACCTCAGTCTGCTTCCTTCTCTCTCCTCCAGCACCCTTTCCGTTTCCCCCTCGCCTGGGTGGGGAAGCACCCACAGACAAGGCAGACAGAAGAGCACGGACTTCGAAATCAGACAGACCTGGGGACCTCTAGCTAAGGGGAGATGCTGTGTGACTCCCCCAAGTCTCAACTCCTGCATCTGTAAATTAACAGTAATGGTGGCGTGCCTGCCTCACAGCAGCCTCACAAAGTTCCAATAATGCCGGGCATGGGGCGTGTTTAGAGCATGCCTTCAGGGCTGGATGCGTGGCAGTGACTGTGACAGGGGGGGTCATCGCTGTGGTTCTGCTTCCCCCCCCACCCCGCCCCTTGGCGTTTGGAGGGAATACGGGGCTGTTGCCCACAAAGGGAAGTTGGAGGCTATGTCCGTGTCCCCGGGGCAACTTTCCAGGAGGCCTTGGCGGAAGAGCTGCGGGGAGGCTTTGGGGAAGAGAAAGCGAGGCCAGGCACTTGCAGGCTTCAGGGTCTTGGCCTCAGGGCAGAGAGGCCAGGTGACACTGGTCAGCCACCTGCCTCCACCTTCCCGGTCCCCGCACATCCCTGTCTGCCACTCGCTGTCTGATGTCTCCAGAGATCTTCAGCCAGGGCGGAATGTCACCCACACGCGGGGAGCAGGAAGCACAGGCCAGGACTGAGCATGTGCTGATATGTTGGCGATCCGTCCCATACGGTTCCTGCATTTAGGCAGGGCTGTGCCAGGTGCTTTCTGGACCTGCTGCCGGCCCGCCATCATGAGCGAAGAGGCTGCTGGTGCCTCATGAGACTCAAACTCGGAGCTGTCTCTGCTGGTCGGTGAAACAGCTGAGACAGAACAGGTGTGTGTGAACCCCATGGCCCTGTTTGTGCCCCTGGGCCATTTTGGCTCCAAGAGACACAAAGGATGGGCTTCTGGGGAGAGAACTATGACGTTACATCCCGGGGCACTCCCAGGGCCCCCCACTGTGCCCTGCACACTGCAAATGGACACACACACGCAGTGGCAAGGCTGGAAAGAGCTGTTTTGATATGTACACACTGGTCTGAGGCTCTTCGAATATCCATAAATGGACGCCAACCGTTAGACCTAGTCTAACGCCTCCCTTACTGATCTAGTGTTCCAGATTCACCTGATGCCCTTCAAAGTCCCGCATAGGTTCTTGAAACATCAAGATATCTTTAAAAAACAGCTTACCTTAGGCGTGCAAGCATAACCACACACACACAACTTTCGGTAGAACCGTGCAATATCAGAACTTGAAGAAACTCTAAAGGTCATCTGGTCCAAGTCTCCTCTCACAGGGGAGGAACCAGACTGATACGTGGTGGCCCGCTCGCCGTCACACAGCAGATGGTCGGGGACGGGGTTCGCGGTTCACAGGCGGTGCGTCGGCGTGGGCTCTGTAGAAATGGCCTCGAGGCACCAGCAGCCTCCTGTGAGGAGAGGGAGCACGGGTTAAAGAGGAAGGAGCAGCTAGAGGGAGGATGGGGTGTGCACAGCCGCATCAGCACTGGCCTCAGGGCCATCCACTGCGTGCTTATGCACTGAGGCCGGGAGGCAGCCATTCGGCCTGGCCAGCTGAGGCTCCGTGGGGACGGTGAGCTTGACTGAGGCTTCTGAGCGGTGCAGTTTTAAGGACTGGGGTGTGTGAAGAGAAAGATAAGAAGAATATGCCTCTTAGTTGAGTGAATGAAGGGGACAGCAGGATCTCTGACGGCGGGGCGGCCAGCCCAACAGGACTCTGGTAGTTTGGGGGGGCACCGGCCCTGAAGATTTCCGAGAGCATGGATCCCCTCTCGGGATGAGACTGATGACACATGCTGAGGAGCACTTTAGGGGAGGAACCAACAGAAGGTGGGGACAACTGTCTATCGCCAAGGGGTGAGGGCTTTCCAGGACCAGAAACTCAGGGACATCATAGGGACACAGACACAGACAGGAGGCATACCTTTGGGAGAAATGGGGATTAATCCCCTCGCTTACAATAATTCAGCAAACAACAGACATGACTCAAACATTCCATTCCCGGAGCCTGAGTTTAGTGGAGTTGCCAGGACAACGGTGGGATGGGAGGTTGACACCTGGGAGGCAGGGGTCCTCACCCACACGTAGCGTGTGATGTCAGCCCAGCTCTTCCCCGTAAGGAATGTGGGGACTGCAGGGCGTCCCAGGAAGCCCCCTCCCCCCATGTGCAGGGACAGGTCTGCTCAGGACGGGTGAGTCACGCTCTCCACATGGAGCCCGTGGTACCAGCATGCGGGAGACAAAGCCGGAAGTCACACTGTAGGGGACTTCGGACATAACCCCGGGGGCAAAGAAGGGAGAGTTAAGCCAAGAATTGTCAGCTGACATTTGGGGGTCATTCAGGTGGGTGGTGCTGGAGGCAGGAGCGCAGGCTGGGGTCCACTGTGATTACTGGGGGGGAGAGGAAACTGGACAGGTGAGAGAACAGGGGAGCACTCCGGGAGGTGTGTGGTGCACCTGCCCAGTCTTCCTGTGGGGTACAGGAGGGGGGGCTCATCCACAGTGACTTCTGACTCTGGAAAGGGGTCCGGGGCTAGCTCCATTCACAGGAGGTCGAGGAAGTTTCCTCGAGAAATGACGCCGTAGTTCGGGACAGCTTGAATTGGAAGTGTGGGCGGGGCGTGTGGGTGGCAGTGCTGAGGGTCTTCAGCTCGGAGAAGGCAGGGGGTCTGCGGGGGGGCCGGGGCTGGACGTCGCAGCTTGGGCCTCGGGCGTGTCCGCCATAACACGGGGCAGGTGCGCATCTTCCCCGGGACGGAGCCAGAGAGAAGAGGCAGGCCCAGGATGACCATGGGAGTGTCCTGAGTCCAGCTGAGGGGAGAGCGGGAAAATAGAAGTAAGACAACAGCCAGGGCAGGTGAGGACAGGAGGGCGTGTGGTCGGTCCATCCGCAGAGAGCCCCGGCCCCGGGCGCGTGCAGGGGTAGGACGGGCCTCTGCAGGCAGGAGACTCTGCTGCTGCTCCAGCCCCTCACCCGGGACTCTGTCCCAGGAGCAACCATCTCCATACCCCGGAACCAGCCGCTTGGGAAAGCCTGTCTCTTCAGAAATCTGACCCCTCAGGCCACTGTCCACTCAGGTGTCCATCCCCACCTTCCTCCCTGAAGGCTGGCCCCTCGGGTGCAGGGGCTGCGGGCTCAGAATGCTGGCCAAACCCGGGGGCTGGGTGGACAGGTGTGCAGAGACACCTGGGTGCCTGGAAGAGCATGGGGCATGGAGGCCAGAGGGAGAGCAGGGGGTGGCTCCAGGCTTCTGAATTCCTGGGGGACACTGGGCTGGGGACAACAAGGGGCAGAGAGCGCTGGCTTGGGGAGAAAGGCCAGTGTCCCCGGTGGAGGGGGTGTGGGGACCATCTGTGTGTTTTCTGGGAGGCATGTGTCACCGCGACCCTCCTCTCTGGCCCATGCACCTGTCCTCCCACAGGTCCCGACATGAGCCCCTGGCCCGAGTCCAGCTGGACCACCCCGCAGGAGTTCGTGATCCTGGGATTCTCCGGGTAGCCCCACGGGCTGCAGCAGCTGCTTTTCGCCTTCCTCCTGCCACTCTATCTGGCCACGCTGGCCGGAAACCTGCTCATCCTGGGCCTGGCTGTCGTGGACCCTGCCCTGCACACTCCCATGTACTTCTTTCTGGGGGCACTTGTCCACTGTGGAGGTGGCCTACACGCTGGTGCTGACCCCACACATGCTCGCCGGCTTCCTGCTGCCGCCGGGGGGCCAGGTGGTGGCCCGATCCACCTGCGCTGCCCAAATGGGCCTCTTTGTGGCCCTGGGCGGCTCTGAGGGCCTGCTGCTGGCCGCTATGGCCCTGGACCGCTACCTGGCCATCTGCCGCCCCCTCTACTACCCCCATCTCATGACCACGGGGCTCTGCTGGTGCCTTCTCGCCTCCTGCTGTGCTGGGGGCTCTGTCCTGGCCTTGGGGCTCACCATGGCCATTTTCCAGCTGCCCTTCTGCCAAGGGGCCTCAGTCGACCACGTCTTCTATGACCCTCCCGGCGGTGTTGGTGCTGGCCTGTGGGAACCACCAGCTGTAGGAGCAGGTCCTGCTGGCAGCTTGCCTGTTGCTGCTGGTGCTGCCCCTGGCCCTGATCCTGCTGTCCTACATCAGGGTGCTGGTGGTCATCCTGGGCGCCGGGGGGTCTGCAGGCCACCACAAGGCCTTCAACACCATGGCGTCGCACCTCACGGTGGCTGTGCTTCACTACGGCTGCGCCACAGCCATGTACGCCAGGCCCCTGAGTGGCCACTCCCTCAAGGAGGACAAGCTGGTCTCGCTCATCTACATCAGCTTCACACCGCTGCTCTACCCCGCCATCTACACGCAGCGGAATCGGGATGTGCAGCGCGCCCTGCAGCGGGCGGTCAGCAGCAGGACGGCAGGGTCCGTCCCCCAGGCTGACATCAGCTAACGGTGTGAGCCAGGTGGTGTCTGTCCTGAAATTGCCCTCATTGAGGGGAACCTCACCATTCCAGAGCCCTCTGTGGCTCCCCGGGACGGGCTGGACAGAAACCTGAGTACGGCGTATCAGGACTCCAAAATCGGACCTCAGCCTAGTTCTTTGGCATCTGTGGACATTTCAAGCTGAACAGTTCTCGTTGGTGGCCATGCACTGTGGGATGTTCCGCGGCCCTTGTCTCTGCCCAGTAGATGCCAGTAACACACCACTGCTCCCCCGCAGTTGAGATGACCAAAACTGTCACCCAACATGGCCAAATGTCACCTGAGGGGCAAGGTCAGCCCTGGTGGAGAACAGCTGCGCTGAACTCTGGCCACACAGTATCCGCTGAAGAGAAACGAGTGCTCCTATACAAGAAGTTTACGGCTGCGTTATTGGTAACAGACAAAAACTGGAAACGAGCCAAATGTTCATGGACATGGGCTAGACACAGAGATGGGGCGCCTGGGTGGCTCCGTTGGTTGGGCGTCTGACACTTGATGTCGGCTCAGGTCATGATCCCAGCATCATGGGTTCAAGCCCCACATTGGGCTCCATGCTGGGAGTGGAGCCTACTTTAAAAAAAGCAGGGGGGGGGCACCTCAGTGACTCCATTGGTTAAGCATCCAACTCTTGATTTTGGCTCAGGTCATGATCTCAGGGTCATGAGATCGAGCCCCCACGTTGGGCTGCACACTGGGTGTGGAGTCTGCTTAAGATTCTCTCTCTCCCTCCCACTCTGCCCTTCCCCCGCCCCACTCTCTTTCTCTTAAAAAGAAAGAAAAAAAAAGAATAGACACCAACAACCTGTGGCATATTCATGTGAGGGAATTGTACACAGCAATGAGAAAGAGAAGTCTTCCTGTTGGCAGACACAAACAGACATAATACTGAGTATGAGAAGCAAGACACCGAATGCCTCCCTGCTCGTAAGACCAATGACAGACTCATCTGTGGTGGTTGATATCATAAGAGGGGTCACCTGGGAGAAGGGTCTGGGTGGGCATGGGCCCCACTGGAGAAGTTCCGTATTCTGATCTGGCTGGGAATGACATGGGTATCCGTGTGTGCAAATCTTCATCCAGATGCTTACTTCAGATCTGAGCACTTTGCTGTCCCTAAAATAAACCACAGCTGGTTCAACCGTTGCCAAGTAAGGCAAGCCGTCGGGACCGCCGGGCCCTTGCTCGTGCTGCTTTATTTCCCTGGTACTCTCTTCCTCTCGTTCCACCTACAAAAACGCCTTCCTCCTCTCAATGACAATGGCTGCGACTCCTAAATATAATTTCAGCATCTGCTTCACTTCCCGCTCACCTACCCACACCTCCCACGCAACTATACAGTGAGCTCTTTAAAGCCAGACCTTAGACCCTGTTCTAGTTCCAGATCTGTGAACTTGGTAGTTCTTGATAAGTATTTGATGGGAGGAACAAACCATAGACGAGCTCCTGGGTTCTCTGGGGGTCTTACATATGGGCTATAGGCCCAGGGCATAGCATAGCTCTGGAGTCCTACGAAGGGCAAGAATCTGTCAGACCGAGTCCTCCTCTGGGGTCTGTTCTCAGTGTCAGAGCGGGCTGACAACCTCAGCTGGCAAATTCTTGGGCCCAATTTACCAATCAATGCAAGGAGCCTCAGAAGCTGCGGGCTTGTAACTTGGCATCCTAACTGCATTCAGAAAACGCAGCAGACCTGATTGTACCAGGGCCCGAGTCCCAGATGGTGCAGGAGGGAGCTCTTCTGAAAAACATCCCCCCCGCCCTACAGAGTCCCATTCAGACACCGGAATTCTGAGGCGCAGAATCAGTGCAGGTGGATCTTGCCCACCTGGCCCCTTGGCGGGAAAATGGCCCACCTACAGGGGCTGCCTCGGAGCCCAGGAAGAAGGGAATATGTGCAGGCCACGCGCGGCTTCAAGAATTGGTCACCAGCTGCCTCAGACGACTCGTGATGGGGTCTCCGTCCTTCCATCCGCCCACCCACCTGCCCATGCCACCTGCTTTCTCACCTCCTGTGTCTCCCTCAGGCCAGTGCTAGGAGGTGAACGGGATGTCCCAATGTGCACAGTTCTGGCTGGAGGCCCAAGATGCGCCACCTCTCCCCCAAATCCACCAGGTAGACAGTCTTGTATTCTGAAGGGGCACCCGGTGCTCAGCTGTCTGTGGTTGTGCGCGGGGCTGATTTTGCTCCAGCTGGGCTCCGGAGCTGGGGTTAGGCTCAGGAGGGGCGCTCCACCAGCAATCCTGCGACACAGGCTGCACCCCATTAGAGTGGGAGCCACAACCGAGGAGCCATCTGCATTTGACCAGCTCACAGGCCTCCCTGGGGCGAAGGCAGGGGTGGGTGTGGTTGATTTGGAGTCTGAGCTGTCACCGGTTCATCTCAGGCGGGGACAGGGCGCACCTGCGTCTGCGGCAGTAGCCCTGGGTCCCTGGGTCCCCGTGAACGGTTAGGCACGGTGGGCCCCTGGCCACATCTCCTGGGGCGGGCAGCAGGTCAGAGCCGGCTGGCCCTCCTAACCCCCCCTCCCCCCGTTGCACAAAGGCTTTTAGAACATGGCGAGTCTTGAGACGCATAAAATTTCGAGTTTTGGGTTCTTTTTTCATTTATTTATTGAGATATAAGTGACATGTAACATGACATTGATTTCAGGTGTACAACACGACTCTATAGATGCGCATATTGTAAAATGATCACAGGAAGTATAGTTAACATCATCTCACATTTGCCACATTTCCCCCCTTGTGATGAGAACTTTAAAGATTGACTCTCTTAGCAGCTTTCAAACACGCGATAGTCTCCAGTTTCTGATTCTCTACCATCCCCCATCTGACCTTACAGACTCTTACTGGAAAGATCTGAGTGGATGTCCCCCCGTGGCCACTTCCCTCTCTGGGGTGTCCCAGTCGGCCTCCCTAGGGTAGGAGTGACTTGCAGCAACGTGACAGTGACAGGCGGACCCCCAGGCCCCCAGTCCTGACGCGTCGGCACTCTGCAGGGTGACCAGCCCAGGGCCACGTCTGTGATCTTTGACTTTAGCAAGGAGGTTGCTAACTTGCTCGGGCCTTGTAGGTGGCGCTTGGACCACTGACATTAGGCCACTAGATCCTGTGCGACCATGTGCCAAGGGTGGGATCCACAATATCCCACGGGGTCAAGGGACAAAGTGTACAGCAACAGAGGGAGCGCAGGCCCCGCCGCATCTGCCTTTGCAGGGAGCTATGCCTTCCCCAAGCGCGAGGGCCCCTATGGTGCCAGGCAGGACTGGGAGTCCCAGGACCACTTGTGAGCACAGCTCGCAGGGAAGGGGAATCTCTCTGGCCTCTAAGGGCACACGGGGTCCGGCAGGGTCGCCACTCCTGTCCTGGCCATTACCCCATGCAACAGGTCCTCAGAGTCTCGGCCGGGCGGATGCTCAGAGTGGGGAAGCTCGCTCGAAATCCAACACCTGCTGGGGGAACTAGCCCTCTGCGGGGCGTTAACAGGTGAAAGGCAGACCCGCAGCATCTCAAAGCAGCCCCCGTGGCCATCCTCCCAGGTCCAGGAGGACTCTGGTTGCTTCTTTCCCAGCTCGCACTTTGGGATGGAAAGAAGCAGCACTCTGCATGATCAGTAGCCGCAGAGCAAAGCCAGCACCCACGGAGGCCAGCAAGCGTGGGCCCCCCAGAGGGGACGGCCTGTTCCTGTGGCCAGTTGTTATGACTTTATTAAACTAACACTTGTTAAGGTGGTCAGCAGGTTCGACAGCAGGCCACAGGAGAAATGGAAACAGAGATGTTTATTAGTCACAGGGCCCCGGTGGGAGGGGAGGAGTACACAGCAGGCCTGGAGGGGCCACATGCGACGGCAAGGCAGAAAGCAGACAGAGACTGGACCTGGGGCACGTGACTTTATTAGGGTCCATCTGCTAGGACCACGCTGGTCAATGCAAACCAGAAAAAAGCAGGGTTTAGGTAAGCGCCACAGGGGTCTTGGCTAAGGAGCACATCAGGCCGACAGGCGCTGGCGAGCAGGGGAGTCTGCAACTCGCAAGATGTGGGAGAAGCCACATGGGGACCGCACATCTGCTGGCGGCCTTGTGGCTGCAATCAGGGGGCCAGCATCAGGGTAGGGTCCCCGCAGACCGCTAGGCCAGACAACGCGGGGGCGGAGCAGCTTAGCCAGCTCTCGACAGGTGTGTATCTAAGATGCGAATTCACCGCTTATCCACCCGGGCATATGCTGTGCTGCCTGAATCTGTGAGCTCACGTCTTGTCAAATCCGAGCCGGGTTTTCTTTGAATATTTACTTGTCTTCCTCTAGTCTTTTAAGAACTCCTCACTCTTCTCGTTTTAATCTAGATGATTCTCTGTAGACTGACTCCTAGGAATCTGCTTTGCTCTACTCTATTCACTTTCTCTGCAGCTGAGTATCGCCTACCGTTGGGCTTTCCGCTCAGCATTTTGATGTTCACGTTGCAATGCCTGTATTTCTGTGTGTTCCCCTTTCCAAAGAGACCAGTTATCTGGCTTTGTGCCTTGCTCTCATGTGGTTTTAAGTTTTTGCTTTTAATCATTTGTGAAGGTAGTTATTTTTATAGAATTTTGTGTTTCTACGACCCTAAAATCCTGGACGTTATTTTGCTCGTCTGTTGACTCTCTTGCTGTGGATTGGTCCTTCATGTTGCGCAGTTTGGGATTATGAAGTCATGTTGGGTTTGTATGTCAGAAGCCTGACAAATGTGGGTTGAGGGTGTCTCCCTCCAAAATGTATTTTGTTTGCTTCTGTCATTTGTTTCAAAGACAGGGAAATTTCTATATTGACTGGTTAGTTTTAAGACTGGGACAGGAATAGGGGAAATTCCAAATTCTGAGTCACATGGGATGCTGGCCAGGGCTCATGAATCATCGGGGTAAATCTTTCCCCACTCTGCCTTGTGTGCCCCAAGGCCTCGCCTCATGTCCTCCTTTGGTCTCGAACACCCAAGCTTCGGGGTAAACCCAGTCAAACCCACAGGGCAGCTACAGCTTCGGCCCTCCACCTGCATCTTTGGCTCTCCGTTCAGCTTACCTCGCTGGCACCCGGAGACTCCACTGGTTTTCTTGCCAGCTGAACTATGCATTTAAAAGAATGTTATCTATTACTGGTCACCATTTCTGGTCGTTTACGGTGGAATGGCTTTTGCCTCAGGTGGCTCACCATTTTGCCAGAAAAGGGAGTTCTAACCTTACACAAAATGAAACCTAATTATGAGCCAGTTGGTGGAGGGATCCTCAGGAGATGTCATGAAATCGCTGGTTTTCAGATCCAGCAAGTAAACAAAAAATGGAATGGGATGTTGGTATGATGTCTGGAGTCCTGGTTTAATAATAAGCTCTTATTGTTCTGGGCATAGTGTACAGAGACGAAAAGGTATGATTTCATGTGAGTCATCCTGATAGAGGTCATTCTGTATATTCCGGTGTGTATGCCTAACAAGTTCACACTTATGTTCAATTACCAATGTGGCTTAAAAATAAATCAGATTCTTTCTAGGCAGCATCCTCAGGAACGTAACCCCTACATGCTCCCTGGGATTGCTCTGATGTTTATTAGATCTGTTGTCTTAATGATTTAATTTATTCACAGACTTCAAAGCTCCATAGCCACAGTTAATGCAGATAGATAGACTTTATAATGAGGCATAGCCTATAAAAATATATCACTCTAGAGCATCATTACCCTCCTGTCATGGTTTTAAGAGACAGGCTCCTCCTAATTCTCCAGACTGGTCGAATTTCACCTCGGTATGCATCCCTTGCACACCCATGGCACTGGACTTCCTGCGGAAGGGTTTTCCACACTCACAACATCCAGAGGTGTGACATTCGTGGACGTTCCATGACTCGGGCCGAAGCCCAGCTCTTTCACCCGTACAGCTTCTCCCGGGTGTGGATTCTGTGGTGGCGGATGAGGTTGGCCTTCTGGGAGAAGGTCTTCCCACACTCGGAGCACTCGTAGGGCTTCTTGCCCATGTGAGTTCGCTTGTGTATAATGAGGCAGGAGTTCTGCGAGAAGGCTTTCCCACACTCGCTGCACTTGTACGGCTTCTCGCCCGTGTGAGTCCTCTGGTGCAGGATGAGGTGCGACTTCTGGAAGAAGGCCTTCCCACACTCGCCGCAGCCGTAGGGCTTCTCCCCGGTGTGGATGCGGTGGTGGATGATGAGGCACGACTTGCGCGAGAAAGACTTCCCGCACTCTTTGCAGCCATAGGGCTTCTCCCCCGTGTGAGACCGGTGGTGCTCGATGAGGCGGGACTTGTGGGAGAACATCTTCTCGCACTCGGAGCACTTGTAGGGCTTTCCTCCAGCAAGAGCTGCAGCAGGCACCGACAGGCTCGTCTTCTGAGATGGCGTTGTCCTGCCGCGGCCGTCTCCCCTGGGTTTCTCTCTGGGGTGACCTCCACGGCTAACCCTGCAGCTGAGCCCCTGTGCCCCGTACGCAGAGGGCTGCTTGCCCCCGTGCACCCCCAGGTGTGCACTGAGTTCCGATTCGCAGGAGAAGCCTTTCCCACACTGCGGGCACCTGTGGGCTCTCTCGGCGCCGCCAGCTCCCCGGTGGGCACTCAGGGCCTGGTCCTGGTGGAGGGCTTTCCTGCACTGGTCACACTCACGAGGCCGCACTCCGGAAGGGGGAGTTTCGAGCTTGGAGTAGAGAAACAAGTTCCCCTGTCCGTCACACTCAAATCTCCGTCTCGCAAGGTAGGCATTGGGACTAACATCCACTTTGCACGGCAGACTCATTCCACACGAGTCACATGTATGGACCTGCTGTTTTGAAGGAGCAAGGTCTGTGTCCTGACAGACTGTCTTTTCAATTGTGTCACCCTCACGGTGCCCTTTCTTGGTTGGTTCTTGCTTGTCTAGGAATGTAACGTGCCTCAGAAGTTTGTCTTGGTGTTCCTGTTGTCTACCTACTGGACGGCCAACTTGCAAAATTTCTTCTAAGGAAAAAAAAAAATGACACAAATTTGTTAATCTTTCCGGGATCACGTCGCAGAACTACATGACTTCAGAAACACTTAGGAGGGAGATTAACTTTGTGGTTGCAGACCTCATTGCCGAGAATCAGTCATCACAATCGTGAGCCAAACACGTCCTAGTACCTCAGCTTTTTTTTTTTTTTTAAAGATTTACTTATTTATTTTAGAGAGCCAGTAAGCATGCGTGGGAGAGCCAGAGGGAGAGGGAATCCCAAGCAGACTCCACACCGAGCACGGAGCCCAACACAGGGCTCGATCGCACAACCTAAGCTGGAATCAAGAGTCGGGTGCCCAGCTGACTGAGCCACCCAGGCGCCACATCCCTTGGCATTTGAAAGGAAAAAAGGGGATAAAACACGGACACTAAATATAAGTAGCTTTGCTACTAACGAGTATGACACAGTCAATTGGGAAGAAGATGAAGACACACAAGTAAAAGGGAGTGAGAGAAAAACCGGAAAGATAGTGGGCATGTTGCTGTCCACGTCACTGTGGCAAACATGCTAAGATTCTTAAATGTCAGATTCTGCATCCCGTGCTTGGATCCTCATTTGCTTTTAGCTTCTTTTACATTTTAAACCACAAACTGTACCTGTGGTTCACCTCTCACACCCACAACCAAAGCAACCAAGGAGCTCCTCGGTTTAGAAATGTTGAAGTTCCTTGAGTCCCATAGCTGAATTCCTAAGGGACAAAATCAATGCCTACTGATCTTCCACCCTGCCTACACCAGGGTGTTCTGGGTTGGGACCCAGCTAGGGGGTGTTTTTAAAGCTCCCTAGGTGATTCTGGTGTGCACCCCTGATTAGTAACAATGTCCCTGAAACAAATGCTTGATAAAAGACCCTGGAAGGATAAAAGGTCCTGGAAGGAGGAGGGAGTTAGTCAGTGTCCATGATGTGTGTCCCACAGAATAAGGACAAATAAGATAAACGCTCTTCTCCCCATGGGATTATACTGGCGTGGGGAGAAAGGAGTTTCATTTATGACCTATTAAGGCAAATGGGGCCATATTACATGTTTTGAAAGAAGAGGCATTTAAAGTCACATAAAAGGGAGAGATTAAGTTTTTGAGGCATTTCACAGTAAAAGACAACAAAAATAAAAATGAGGGGCACAAAATAAGTTATTTTAAAATAGTGGCAATCTACAAATCCCTGAAAACATGGGAAAGTCTGTTTCGTAACCATGCGAGAAATCAGACTGAAGATTCTAGAGAAAAACTGAGCAAGCAAGGTCTCAGATGGGGACAGTCGAGTCGAATAAAAGAATAAATAAAAACAGGTCTTTCTCTAAAACCCAGGGAAAGGAGAGTGATCATGTAGTGATGTGTGATGTGTGTAGGTAGCAGGAGTCATTTGGGGCAACTCAAGGTCTCAGGCCAAACGTCCACAGCTGCTTGCAAATATCCAAGGTCTGAAACAAAAACGCACCCGAAGTTCTGCTCTGTGACCAACCGGATGTCCACTGCTGCCCCCCCACCGCCCAGGGCCCCCTGGCTGCAAGCTGCTCCTCTCTCACCTGGAAAGCTCCATCTGAGGATTTCTTCCTCCTCCATCCATGGTTCTTGCCCTTGCTCCAACCTGGAGATCACAGCTGGTTTGGTGACTTGACACCCTGTTGATGAGAAATATCCCTGGTTATGAGGATTTATGCTGAGCCACTTGGGCCATCTAAGGAAGCAGAAGGTTTGGGTGGCTCAATGAACATTTACATCTTGGTTGAAGAAGGGGTATCTCGTTTGGGAGATAAATTCACAAATGAAGTGGGTGAGATGAGAGCCAGACTTGTTCACAACTGAAACCCAAGGCCAAACCATGCTTAGTCCTTCAGAGGTTTTGCATAACTGAGAAAAGAAAGGAGTTCAGACAGACAGACAGAACCGGGAAACACGGGAAGCTCTCCTCACCTACTGAGACCAGGTGGCTGTAGTTCTCCAGCATCACGTCCCGGTACAGTGTCCTCTGTGTGGGGTCCAGCTGCTGCCATTCCTTTCGGGTGAAGCCCACGGCCACGTCTCTGAATGACAGTGACCCCTGGAACAACATGTTTCTGATTAATCTGGAATGCCTGGCACAGAGTACCATGGCAAAGGTGTAGAGGTGGTGGATCTTACCACCGTCGATGTCAGGTTTCCCCATGTTAAGTGATTTAGGAAGCTTAGCATGCCCCTAACTCTGTACTACATTTTATGGAAGAGAAGAAAAAGATCATTAGAAAAGATCTCACTCCTGGATCTCTATTTATTTATCCATTCATTCATTCAATGCGTGAACATCTACAGATTTGGTAGGTTAATGGCATTCCACCTGGTGCTTGGGGTTGAAAGCTGAACGCAACATTACTCCTGCTCTAAAGGCATTCAGAGTCTGGTGGAGTGAGATAAACATAAGACTTCTGTATGGTATGATTACACCAGAGGCTATGATGGAAGTATATTAAGGACAGAACAGACACAAAGACAGCAGTCAAATTCAATGTCCCGATGTCAAGTTAAGCTTCACTGGAGGCTGCCTTTGAGCAGAATCATGAAAGATCAACAGCATGTCCTGATGTCTGAAGGATATTTTCTATCAAGAGGTATAGCATGAGCAAAGGCAAGGAGTCACAAAAAAAATCTGGTAGGAATTGCAAATACTTGGGAATGACAATGTAGAATATAATGTGTGTGTATGTGTGTGAGAGAGTGAGAGAGAATAGAGAGAGCGTGCAGATCACAAGACAAAGGGTTTTTCTCCTATAAGGCAATGGGGACTCCCATCACGGTATTTAAGGAGGGGAGCTACAAGAGATGATGGGATGTAGAAAAAGGTAGGGAATCACTGGGGGAGAATAAGTAAATAAAATTAGGACACAATTATAATCAATGACATGAGATATGGTCAAAATTAAGGTAGCAACAAGAGGAAAACAGAGAAAGGATTCCACAAATGCAGAACAGGGCTTGGCTCTCTTTCCCCTTCTCCTTCATCTTCTCTCTCTCTGTACGAATTAAGGACCAAAACACCAAATTAATTTATATTGAATGTGGTAATACTGTAACAGTGTGTAAATCACTTTTAACACAAGTATGGAAGTTAAAAGGCAAAAACATAAGAATAACTATAATCAGATTAATGGAAACACAATATAAAAGTAAAATCTGACCTAAATAACAAAGTATGAATGTGTGAGGAAGTAAAGTGTAGAGTTGCCATATGTGATTGAAGTTATCAGGCTAAAAGAGATGGCTAAAACTAAGAAATGTTTAGTGCAAGCCTCATGGTAACCACACCAAAAAAAATCTGTAATAGATACACAAAAATAAAGAGGAAAGAATCAAAACATATCACTACAAGAAATCCTCAAACCACAATAAAGACAAGAGAGGACGAAAGGAACAAAGAAACTACAGAACAGAAAACAATGAACAAAGTGGCAATAGTAAGTCTTTACCTACTGGCAATTACTTTAAATGTAAATAAACTCAGCTCCAGAAATTGAAACACATAGCGTGGCTGAATGGGTAAAAAAAAAAAAAAAACAAGACCCAATTATATGCTGTCTACAAGAGACTCACTTTAGACTTCAGGACACATACTGGGTAAAAGTGAAGGGGTGAAGAAAGACATTCCATGCCATGCAAAGGTAATCAACGGAGAGCTGGTCTGGCTATACTCGTATCAGACAAAATAGCCTTTGAGTCAAATACTGTCACAAGAGACAAAGTCCTTTTATAGTTAAGAAAGGGTCCATTCAACAGGAAGATATAACATTTTTAAATACATATGCACCCAACATCAAAGGACCTAAATACATAAAGCAAACATTGACAAATGACAAGGGAGAAACAGAAAATATTATAATACTAATAAGAGACTTAAACAGCCCACTCTCAATAATGGATAGATTGTCTAGACAGAACATCAACAAGAAAACAGCAGAAATGAGCAACACGATAGACCAAATAGTCTTAAAAGATATTTACAGAACCTTCTACCCAACAGCAGCAGAATACTCATTCTTGTCAAGAGCACACAGAATGTTCTCCAGGACGGATCATAAGCTAGGTCACAAAACAAGTCTTAACAAACTTAAGAAGACTAAAATCATTCCAAGTATCTTTTCTAATCACAATGAAATGAAACTAGAAATCAATAATAGAAAGGGAAAAATTCAAAAATATTGGAAATTAATATATTCTTAGACATCACTGGGTCACAGTAGAAATCAAAAAGGAGGGCGCCTGGGTGGCTCAGTTGGTTAAGCGTCTGCCTTCAGCTCAGGTCATGATCCCAGGGTCCTGGGATCGAGCCCCGCATCGGGATCCCTGCTCAGCAGGGAGCCTGCTTCTCCCTCTCCCACTCCCCCTGCTTGTGTTCCCTCTCTCACTGTGTCTCTCTCTGTCAAATAAATAAATAAAATCTTTGAAAAAAAAAAAAGAAATCAAAAAGGAAATTGTATTATCTTAAGACAGATGAAAACACAACAGACCAAAACTTAAGGGATACAGCAAAAGCAGTACTAAGAGGGAATTTTGTAGAAATGAACACCTACGTTAAAAAAGAAAAAAGATCTCAAATAAACAATCTAACTTTGCACCTCTAGAAAAAGAACAAACTAAGCCCCAAATTGGCAGAAGGAAATAATAAAGATTAGAGCAGAAACAAATGAGATAGGGAATAGAAAAAAATAAAACTAAGAGTGGGTTTTTTGAAATGATAAAATTGACAAACCCTTAGCTAGACTAAGGAAAAAAAAAGAAGACTGGAATAAATAAAATCAGAAATGAAAGAGGGGACATTACAGTTGATGCCACAGAAATAAAAAAGAACTATGATATACAATTCTATGCCAACTAATTGGACAACCTAGAGAAAATAAACACAATTCATAAAAAAAAAAAAATACAACCTACGAATACTGAATCAAGAAGATGCAGAAAGCCTGAGCACACCGGTAACACATAAAAAGAATGACGAAGTAACCAAAAAACTCTTAACAGAAAAGCCCAGGACCTTCATGAGTGAATTCTACCAAAAATTTAAACAATAGTACCAATCCTTCTTAAGTTCTTCCAAAACAGAAAAAGAGGGAACACTTCAAATTTGCTCAATGAGGCCAGCATCACTCTGATACCAAAACTAAAGACATCACACAAAAGAAGACTATAGGCCAATAACCCTCATAAACATAGATGCAAAAACCCTCAACAAAATATTAGCACATCAAATTCAACAGCACAGTAAAAGGATCAGACACCATGACTAAGCAGGGTTTATCCCTGGGATGCAAGGATGGTTCAACACATGAAAATCCATGGGAGACACCACATTGACAGAATAAGGATAAAGATCACAAAATCAGCTTAAGAGCTGCATAAAAAGCATTTTGCAAACTTCAACACCCTTTCACGATTAAAAGCTCTCAGCAAAAATAGAAAGAACTTATCTCAACATGATAAAGGCCATTTATGAAAAGCCCAGAGCTAATATACTCAGTGGTGAAAGCTTTCCCTCTAAGACCTGGAACAAGGCAAGGGTGCCCGTTCTTGCCTCTCCGATTCAACACAGTACTAGAAGTCCGGCCAGAGCAATCCAGCAAGAGAAAGAAAGAAAAGGCATCCAAATCAGGAAGGAAGAAGTAATGCAGCAGCATTCACAGTAACTTAGAGATGGAAAACACCTAAGTGTCCATCAGTGGATGAACGGATGATGTGGTGTATACATACTATGGAATACCGGCCACGAGAGAGAAGGAAATCCCTTCATTTTGGACAACACGGATGGACCTGGAGGACATTATGCTTAACAAAATAAATCAGACACAGGAGGACAGATACTGCATGACCTCACTTTTATGAAGGCTCTAAAATGGCCGAACTCCTAGAACTAGAGAGCAGTGCAGTGGGTACCAGGGGCTGGGAGGGGCAGGGCAATGGGAAGGTGTTGGTTAGGGGCTCAGTGTTTGCTATGGAAGATGGGGAAGCTCTGAAGATCTACCGTACAGCATAGTGTCTATAACCACCCTGTATTGTGTACTTAGAAATTTGCTAAGAGGGCATATCTTATGTTAAATGCTCCTGCCACAAAAAGAAAAAAATACATACATACAATACATACATCAGAAAGGGGGCTGGAGGAAACTTTTGCAGGTGATGGATTTAAGTCTGTGGTGATGGTTTCATGGATGCACACTTATCTCTAAACTCATCAAGCTGTGCCCCATTTGCATGTCAATAATACCTCCATAGAGTGGTTTTAAAAAACAGAATTTTCTAGTCACCTTTTAAGTAAAAAAAGGAAATGAATTAATTTTAATAAGATCTTTTAGTCTAATATATCCAGAATATTATCATTTCAATATAGAATTATTTTAAAATTACTGATACACTTTTCATTCTTTTTCATACCATATATTTGAAACCTGGTGGGTGTTTTCCACTTTACAGTACATCTCAATTCAGACACTATATTTCCAGTTTCACTTTCATGAAATGTAGTCCTCTAAAAACAACAAACTTGTCTTTGATGGGAAAGTATTTTACTCTGATTCCGTTTTAAATGGCGCCTGGGTGGCGCAGTCGATGCAGTTGAGCGTCCAACTCTTAGGTTTCAGCTCAGGTCTCATCTCAGGGTCGTGGGTTCAAGCCCCACATCGGGCTCCATGCTCCACACTCAGCGTGGAGTCTGCTTGGGTTTCTCTCTCCCTCTCTCTCGGATAAATAAATAAATCTTTAAAAAATAAGAATAAAATTTAAGTGGAAATGAAAAATTCAGGTCCCCCGCCCCACTAGCCACTCTTCAGGTGCTCAGTATCCACCTGTGGCTGCCGGCTACCATATTCGACAGCAGAAGCACTGCCTGGGTTCCTCTGCTGGGGCTATGTGTAGGGCAGATAAAACTACAGTGCAGTTCAATCACTCAGGGTGACTGAACAGGCAGTTCTAGGCCTGTCTGTCTGTCTGTCCGCATTCACATCCCAACTCCATTGCCTGATAGATGTGAGATCCCAGGCAACTTGCTTAGTATCTCCAGCCTCTGTTTGTCCATCTGTAAAGCAGGAGGAGGAGTTAAGAATACCTATCTCACAGGTTCATTCATGAAATAACATATGGAAAACGCAGAGGCCCGCACATAAGCGTTCAACAGGTGGAGCTTTATAATTTTTATTGTCAGCGTTTCTGTTGCAGGTAGCCCTGAGGAGCAGTTCACAGTGAGGCTTGGTTTCCTGCAAAGTAACAGCTTCCCCAAAAGGCACAGATGAAACCTCCGGCCCAATTACGGGTCCGACCACATAGAGATGCAGGCAGCTCTCTCCTCTGAGAAGGGCTGTGGAGCTGCCACCTCGTTTTCAACCCTCTCATATGCCCAGATGTTCCTGCTGTCAAACATCCAGATGGTCCCGGCTTTTTTAGGCACAGACACTCTCATTAAGACAGGTCTCCAAGCCAGAAACCAAGACCCCCGAGAACGCTTTTCTTCCTGGAGTGGACAGCTGTAACATCCATCCAGGAGGCCTCGGCTTCCTCCTCGGCAAGCAGGCTCCCTCCGGCACCCCAAGCCCAGACCCTGCCTCTCGGCCCTAGACGTGCACTAAGCTGGGCTAATCTGAATCTCTCCCAAAGACCGTGCAAACAGGCTCTACGAGAGGGGACTTGGTCCCTATCTCTGGCAGAACTCGTCAGTGTGGGGTGTGGGCCACGCCTACTTCGGGCCACACGGATGACGTCACTATGAGAGAAGGAAGTCACAGACGCAGAGGCAAGGGACCGGAAAGCCTCCGGGCAACACCTGCACTCCTCGGTGTGACCGTCTGAGTCCCAGCTGCATACCTGCTCCTCCCACAGTCCGGGTACCACCTAGATTTGGGTTCACCCTAAACTAGTTCTAGCTGGGTTTCTGGCTCTTGAAACGTGGATTCTGGGCCGGCACACTTCCCATTCATGAGTTCCTGGGCCCGGGGTAAAGAGAGGGGCCCGTCACAACTAATTTGAGAATGAAGACAGGCTGGGAGCGGACAACGTCACCGAAATCTGAAGATCACAGTGGCCCCATAAGAGAGGGGGCAAAGGGCAGATGCCAAAGACTGAGACTGAGCTGTTCGCTCTCCATCTGTGTCAAAACACTACTCTGAAAAAGAATTGGCCGAACATGCTACTCGTTCCTTCCTCTGCACAATGCAGGGTTTCCTCTAGGTCAGTCTGACATCACAAGGCTGTTTACATAGAACCGTGGATTTTGATTCCTGAAGCAACCGCAATCACAGATTTCCGCACTGATGTAAGACCCACTGTTTCTATGGAAAGAAAAGTCACAGGAGATTTGCTGGTGCATCTGCCGCAGTGTCGCCATTACTGCGGACCCCGCCTGCGAACCTCACATGCCAAGTCCCGTCACATAAACTCCTCAATACCAAAAACAGCTTTATTTCCTCTAAGAAGCTGACATGCTAGTCCCAAGCAGACAACACAAGTCATATATTGGATGGAATCTGTCTTTTGAAAGTGCCAGCAATGTCAGACACAAGTTTATAGAGCAGCTCCTAACTCTACCCGCCCGGCCCTTCGCATGGCTTCCTTCTTCTACTTGCTTCCCATCCTCAGTGATCCTGGGTCCTGTGTGCATTGTTTTTACTGGATGCATTCTTAGCAGCATCCCCGAAACCCCCTGGTAAAGCAAAGTGCAGTATAAAGAAATGCCACGGGGTGCCAGGGGGGCACAGTCGGTTAAGCGTCTGACTCTTGATTTCGGCTCAGGTCGTGATCTCAGCGTTGTGAGACTGAGCCCCACGTGGGGCTCCCCACTCGGCAGGGAGTCTGTTTCTCCCTCTCCCTCTGCCCCTCCTCCTGCTTGTGCTCTCACTCTATCAAATAAAAAAATCTAAAGAAATAAATAAAAGAAATGCCGTACTCACCTGGCACATGGTCCTTCCCTGACGGGCCGGGAAAAGCAGACACCTGTGGAAGCAGAGACGGGGTGGGGAGAGGATGTGAGAGACCAAGCTCGCCCCCAGCCTCTGAATCATCTGCCACCACCCCCGCCTCCAGGCACAGGGGGAGGACAGGCTTCCCCCAAGGACCCCACCATCATACAACGCCCTCGCCTTGGCGTGTGATGGGGACCCAACCGTGTGAGGGTTCAATCTGGATTTTTCTTTTCTACTTAATCCACATACGTATCTGTGTCTCACTCATCAGTGTGCAATTTACTAACCCCTCCCCTCGCTCCCCAGAAATTTAATAGAAATTTTTTCTGAAGAAACAGTCATGAGTTTAGGCAAAGAGTTAGCCGCCAAGATGTTTATTACATTTTGTTAAAACTCTGAAATAAAACAGAAAATAACTAAATATCCAATGAAGGAGGACGAGTTAAATAAACACACGACCTCCAAAAGGGAAATGAACCGTTACGTAGCTAATGAAAATAAAATCATGGAAAACTATTTTAGTGATAACATACTCATCACTGAAAACAGGTGGCTGAAAACTATTTGATCCCACACACCCAGATGCACGCACACACACTCACGCAGAACAATCTCTGAAATGATGTAAGACAAAAAGCTAGTAGCAGTTAGCTCTGGGCAGTTGGGTGACAACCACTTTCTAAAATACTCTTTGTCCTTAGATGAATCTACTAACTTTTTCTATGATAAACAGGCACTTCGTATATAAACGTTATTTTTTAAACATCTGTTGTCTACTAAGCTTCTAACCCAAAGCTTGTCACCAGTCCTGCCCCTGGCAGACGTTGAGGACGACTCCCAGGAAAATATAAAAATGGGTTCCTGAAGTCAGAGTCCGTTAAATGGAGTTCAGCTACGGCAGGCGGGGGGCGATGAAGCGGGGCCCTGCAGCCCATCCTGGACCTGCTGGGTTCTCTGTGCTCCTCGTCCCGTGGCTGTGCTCTGTCCACAGTCACTGTTAGTGACAACCACCCTGGCTGACCTGTGCTGACCTCTGCCCGGGAAGCAGTCCCGGTCTGGCTCTGCCACTTACCAAATATGGGACAAGATCTGATGGCTTCTCCTGAGCCCTCTTCCTCCTTTCCTCATTCTGCCAGGGAACAGGAACACGAAGGTTCAGGAGCAAATTTACTGTGGCTGGAAGCATCAACGGGACCCCACACCTATCTCTCTCCTGAACACACACGAGGCTGGTCTTAGGTATGTTCCTACTCAGGATAGAGACACACGGGAGTTGGGTCCAAGAAGTCTGCAGAGACACTAAAACTCTAGAATTACAGTAACTCTATAAAGAATTCTGAGGGTGTTTTTGTTTTTAATTGGAGACTACCTAAGTGCTTAAAAATAAGAGATTAGTTAATCAATTTTGATAACAATTAAAGCATGCCATGCTACGAATCAATTTAAACTATCACACAAGAAATTATCGGACATGGAAATCTCTTCTGGCCATACCAGTAAGTGGGGAAAAGAAAAAAAAAAAGGAGAATACGTAATCCATAAGCACATGATTCACAGATGGGTATCAGGTAGATGGATGGGATGTTCCTAGGTGCCTGGAGTTTTAGCTAAATTCCCAAACACCCCAAATTCTCCGGGGGGAGCTGCTAGACCCAACCTAACAGACGCCTCCCTTTGGAGAAGGAACGGCGGAAGGAGAGGTGTCTACTGAAGGTGTATGTGGGGTTCTGCTTCCCTCCCATGCCAAGAGGGGTGGTTGCAAGAGAACCAGAGGGAGCCTGCAAAAAGTTGGCGGGGGGGATAACCTTGCCCCCCCCCCCCCGGCTGGCTGTGTGCCCAGCTGCAGAAACTCTCGAGCACATGGCGGTTCAGCCGACGGGGCGCAGGTGCTCCGGGGAAAGCTGTGTGCACGCGGGAGCCCCGCAGCGACAGTCAGCCTCACAGCCGAGGAACTCAGAAGTGCGAGGCCGGCAAAGGCCACCGTGGTGACCAGGTGAGGAGAGGGGGCAGGAACAGGAGCCCCCTGCATGGCCTGCATGTGTTGGAACCAGGATGCGAGACTTGCCGGCGGCACGGGGAGGACGGGAAGGTAGGTGGGCATGAGCTCTACAGCAAGGACATGGAGAAGCGGGACCACTGAACCAGGAGCTGGGGGTGGGCACCGAGGTCTGCCAGAGAGCCCCTGCCGGTGTCACAGACTCTGCACCCCCAAAAGGCCACCAGGTGGCCTCCAGCGTGACGGAGGGCAGCCAGCTAGGCAGGTGAAGCTACCAAAAACACCAAGCAAGGAGGCGTCTGTGCTACTTTCCCCTCCTCCTGCCCTGCCCCTGGTGGAGAAAGAAGCCGTCCACTGAGGAGAAGGAGGGGTCAAGGAGGAGCAGAGACAGAAGAAATCACCGGCCCTCCATCTGGGGATGAAGACCTGCAGCCCTGCAGGGGGGAGAGGGAGAAGCTCGAAACTGGGCGGGAGCGGGAGCTGTTCACTAGACCAACGGCAACCAGCAGAGGAGAGACCGGTCTCCATCACAGCCTCACGTGATGAACTGCTCTGGGTTACTGGAGAGCTCATCCTGGCAGGGACGTGTTCTGGCTTGAACTCTGTCTCCCCAAGAAGATACGTCAGGGATCCTAGCCCTTAGGACCTCAGAATGTGGCCTAATTTAGAAATAATGTCTTTGCACATGATCGTGGAGGGGGCCCCAACCCAGTGTGACTGGCGTGCTTGTAAAAAGGGGAAACTGGGGCACAGGGAGAACATCAAGGAAGATGAAGGCAGGAATGCCAAGGACTGCCGGCAAGCCCCCAGAAGCAGGGGAGAGGCCCCGAGGAGGTGCCCCAACATGGCCTCAGAAGGAACCGGCCCCGCCCATGCCTGAGCTGAGAAAGATCACATCTCTGCGCTTCACGCCGCCCCAGTCTGCAGTACTCTGTCATGGCGCCCCCGGGAAATGAGGACAGGAAGGCAGACCCAACAGCGTGGGTCCAAAACCATGGGCAGAGGGGACACTCTACTGTTTCCTGTTTGTGTACATCCAATTTCAGCACGTGGAATGGGTTTTTGTAAGAACATATAAAGAAAAAAATTCTGTACAAAACACACAAAATGTTAACAACGGTGACCTCCGCATGGTAGGATCTGTTTGCTTTGACATAGTGTCATTTTCTTAAAAATTGTTTTTAGACAATCAACATGTGCTCACTCTTCAATATTTCAATTATTTCATAAAAATATACATATATCATCTTACTGGGTTTTCTCTCCATGACCGCCTATCAGAGTCCTTCCCCTGGAGGAGAGGAAATCCGTGGGAGGGTCTGAAGGGGTGGAAGGTGGGAAGGGACGGGTTTTAGCGATGACCTGAGGCGCACGGGAGGAAGCCCCCGCCTGGCGGACGGGAGCCCTGGGCGCTAGTGCTGGCTCGGCCTCTAGTAAGCTGGGTGGCTCTGAACACCTCTCTCACGCGCATTTTCTTTCGTCTTTAATATGAGAAGGAAAAATGAAATACTCTTAGGTTAAGAAAGCAACTTCTATGCCTTGACTACACGAGGAGGGTCTACGTCTTACAAGCCGTAGAGTGCGGGGCAGTGGGGGCAGGGGTGGGGGGGTGCTGGGACAGTGAATGCACCTGAGTGTAGAGAGATCGGGGCGGGGAGCCGTCCTCCGAGAATCATGGGGATCCCTTCCCTCATTCCTGTTTCTCACCCTAAAGCAGGGGATCCCCTCTCCTTCTAGCAAACCTTCCCCTAAACCAAATCCTAGATGATCCCCTGATACGGTGGCATCCCCCAAATTCACTGTCAGCAAGTGGGTCCTCGGCTGTTTTAGGGACGCTTTTCTGGGGGCTGCCCCGTACTGCGTGGACCTCCAGCTTCAGCCCTAAGCTACGAGGGGGAGCTCAGAGAGGGCGCCCTGCTTCCAAAGTAGATTGCTGCTCCCCGGGTCACCTTTCCGAGAATTATCCTATTATCCTATCGGTAGGGAGCCCGGGGCTTGAGGACTGGCAAAGCTCTGCTGTCCTGCTGAGAACTTACCGTGGGCTGGAGGCTCAGCTCCTGCCTCCAGGCGGTGGTCTGGGGGTACAAAGGAGCTGGAATATGCAGACTGAGCCACCTTGTCCCAGGCTGATTCTAAGACTTTGCCAAGACACTAAGAACACCTGCAAATAAATAGACGGTATGGCGAGACTCACATGAGAACATGAGCAGGACATTTACCTCCAACCAGGGGCGGAGGGAGTGGAAACACAAGAAGGACCCCGCACCACCCCATGTGCAGAGCTGAGAGAAACCTCAGCTGACAGCAAGCCAGGAATCAGGGGCCTGGGGCCTCAAACCGCTGGACACCGACTTCTGCCGGCCCCCGTGAGCCTAGAACAGGCTCTACCGCGAGCCCCCCGCAAAAGAGGCCCACCGTCCCACACCTTGATTCTGGCCTTGGGAGACCTGAGTGGAGCCCCAGCCAGTCATGTCCCCCTGGACTGTGCAGAGCTGCGAGGTACAGTGGGTGTCGCTTTAAAGCACTGGATTTGTGGTAATCTGGGACGCAGCCCTCCACTGGGGGCTCAGGAGAAGGCTTAGGGCTGGGCGGGAGACCACAGAGAGACTCCCTGGGTAGTGAAGGTCTGGAGGAGCAGAGTGGCTGCCATTATGGGAAACCCGGGGAAGCCCCATCCTTCCAGAAACTTCCCTCCTGAGAAGCAAAGCCTTACGCTGCCAAAGGAAAGGGCAACAAAACCTGTTGCTCTCAGAGCACGGGTAAGACCTACGGCTCCGGACAGGAAAAGGGGGGAAAAAACCCTCTCCCATGTGAGGGGGCAGGCATGTGTCCTAGGCCCCTACCATAGCGGGAGGCCCCAGCCCCACGACTCAGGCACGCAGGGCCCTCCACCACCAGCCCAGGCAGCACTGAGGAAGAAGCAGGAGCACCAGTGCGGGGAGAAAGTCACAGCGGAGAACAGTGACCAGCCCACTGAAGCACAGAGCAACGCCAGCGAAACGTGAGGCTAGTGGCCGGGGCCTGACAGTGGGAACCACAGGAACAGCAAATGCCAGGCCTGTCTACTCCTGACCAGTCTTGCAACAACCAACCTCCTGCGTCCCAGCCCCGCGCGCACAGCGACAGGGGAGCAGACGTCTCTACTCCTACGCACAATGCCCGGCATTCATTTAAAAAAAGAAAAAAAAAATATGAGACATACAAAAAGCAAGAAAGAACCCCCCATTGCAGAGACAAAGCAAGGGGCAGAAGCCAACTTGATCTTGGGTCTACGCGCACCAGCACACGGAAAGGATGCATATGTAGCTCAAACGCACGTGAAACATGCGGGGGAAACCGACAAATCCTCTATCACAGTGAAAAGATTCTAGCACATGTTTTTAGAAACGAAGATTCCAGATACAAAAAAATAAATAGTAAGAGTATACAACATTTGAATAACAATTTAAAAGCTCGACGTATGGGATCAGACAGTAGAATGGACTTGCTAATCAAAGAATGTACCTTCTTTTTAAGAACACCTGGGATAGTTATAAAAACTGACCCCAAAAAGCTAAGAATAAACCTCAGTAAATATGTTAAAAAATCAATATTGCATAGATGCCACTTGCCACTCTCTAAACCAAAAAGCAATACAACTGGAAAATTATAAGAATGCAGAATTATTTATAACAATGACTGCAAAAATATTACATATCAAAACTGAGGCATAGTTACAAACACACACTTAAAAAAAAAATACAGCCCTAAAATACTTTTTAAAAAAAATTACAGCCCTAAGACACGCGTTAGATACAAATGGAAAATTAACGACATTCATCACAGGAGGCTAGTACAGAAAAGAGTAAACCCAAAAGCCATAAAAAAGACAAGTATGAGCAGAGATTTTTAAAAGAGGAAATCAAATAAATAATAGAACAGGTTAAAAAAAAATCCTAACACCAATGTATTACCTGAAGCTAATCATGGTGAGACATTCGACAAACCTACATTGAGGAACATTTCACAAAATAACTGGCCTGGACTCCTCAAAATTGCTATTCTGTTGAAGACAATGAAAGATTGGGGAATTGTTCCAGAGAAAAGACAACGAAGGGACATGGCGGGGGTTGGGGGGGAGCAACGCATGATCTGAGATCTCCTTGAACTCAAAAGGGTCTTCCTTAGACTACGGGTGAAATGTGAGTAAGATCCGTGGACAGCAGAATTGTGTCAATGCTAATTTCCTGGTTTTGATCATTATCCTGTGGCTGTGTGACAGAATGGCCCTGTTTTTGGGAAATGCACACAAAGTATGTACCTACACACACACGTATGGCGGGGAGAGGAAAAGAAGGAAAAAGCAAGTTGTATATGAATGAGCCAACGATGGCCTCTGTGGAACCCTAGCAGGCTGAAGCCAGTAGCTCAAAAGACCAGCAGCACCAAACTCCAGTATTAACACATGCAGTCATGTTAAAGATAGCCCAAATATCAACAGGTTTTTTAGTCATTTAGACCTGCCTGCTTTGCCTACCCATGCAACAGCAGCCAGCGTCTGGAAGCCATAGATGAAATATACCATGTGGCTACAGAGACCCCAAGCGTCTCTGACCCAGAGATACCCAGGGGTACCCTTGTCCCCTTTCCGAGAAGCAGCCCCTGGACCCCAAACTCTGGATGGTCTCACGCTGCGAGGGACCTCTCCCTAACGTGCGCGCTTAAATAAAGCTTGTGTGTGCTCCTGGTCATATGACCCTATCTTTTTCTTTAATCGGCCCTGAAATCCCTCAAGCTCCCTACACAAATGTGGTAAAATGTTCATATTGGAGAAATTTAGATGAAAGACGTTCAGGAATTCTCTGTACTATTCTACCATTGTGATTTTTCTTTATGTATGAAGTTGTGCCCAAGTAAAAAATTGCAATCAATTCTTCGAAAGGATTAAAACTAGTAACATAACTGCTTTGTATTTAAAACTAATAAAATAGACTAAGTTCAGGCACCATTGATCAAGAAAGCAAGAGAAGGCAAAGATGCAATTTTTAGACATGAAAAAAGACAATTTCAGATAGAGCAGAGAGGTTTTTAAGTTACGAGATCACTATAGACAATGTAATGCCATAAATCTGAAATTAAACTGGACAATTTCCTAGAAAAATATCAAGTCCTAAAATTGACAAAGCAACAGAAAACTGAAAACCACCACCACCACCACTAAACATTAATTAAAATGGATCAGTACTCAGAAATATACCCATCAAGGAAACACCAGGCCCGATCAAAATCTATTCAAGATTTTTGCCATGTGCATAAGCCATAAATGGATTTGGATCTGGAATATATGAAAAAAATACTAAAAATAAATTTTAAAAAGCCAAAGAAATACAGGCAAATGTAATGAACACACAAAACAATATATTGTTCATGACCACATTCACATCTAGTAAGTAAATAACATGTAAGAATAAAGCAATCTCAGTTGTTACCCAGAGAGGAAGGGAAGTGGAACAAGGGCGGGGGGGATATTAAAAGAGCTCCAGTGGTATTTATAAGGCTTTAGTTCTTTAGAAAATCCGAAGCAAACAAACTTTTAACATCTGCTCAGTCTAAATGGTGACTGCAAAAAGTTTCCTTCTTTTTTCACTCTGGTATACCTTGGAGATCTTTTCTAACGTCACTAGTTGAACACACTAAGAAAGAATTACGGTTGTAATAGAAGAAAACCTCCTTCAAGAAGACCCGAATTCAAGTCATAATGGAAACAACTGATAAGCCTTATCAAGACTTAAGACTACAGTACCGGTTTTGCTTCACCCCCTCCCCACCCAGCTCAAGCGTGTCCTGTATCTTGAACAGAAAAGCCTCACAGACAGACAGATCCATCCCCATCTCTGCATCACTGGGCACCCTCACTGTGGCTCCCTCTCTCCTCGCCGAGTGTGGGGAAAGAACCGTCTTCACTGATCCGAGTCCACCTCCTGCCTTCTGACAGTCTGCAAATGGACGCACTCTCGCAGCCCCACCTTCTCTCACCCCTGCCAGCGCGGGAACGGCTTCACAAACCTGAGATACTTTCCCCACGACCTTGGCTCCGTCCCCATCAACTCTACTCACGGCTGGTAATATTCACACCAAAGACAAATTCCACCACACCACTGCCTTGCCTAAAACACCTCAGGCGCTCATGGGACCCAGTCCATACCGCCCAGCCCAGCTTGATATGCTCCGCAAAACCACCTCCAGCCTCACCACGCCCCCCATCCAGGCTCTTCCATGGCGTAAAATCCAGCAATACCCACACATTTCATGCCTCTTACCTTTGCATAGGGTGTTCTGTACCCCTGACCCTTTTGCCCCTCCGGCACCTATGGAGACCTTATTTCAAGTCTGATATTCAGTCACGCCTCCCCCAGCAGAAGCTGCCCTCCCGCCTGGGTGTCCGTTCATCCAGTAGGGATAACTATCAGAGCACCCACACCTTGGTGGCCCTTATCCGTTCACGGGACCGACACCTCCAGAGGGGCTCTAGCCAAGGATGGGACCCGGTGCTTCCCCAGTGCCTGACCCAGACACTCAACAAATGTTTGTCGGATGAACACCGACACCGCAGATCCATGGAATACCAATCATTTCACACCCTTCCTTCCTTGCCTTCTTAGCTCAGAGCCTACCGTTGGCTGCGATGTGGGGTCCGAAGGAGTGACGGAGGGTCGGACGCGGGGGGGGTGGGCGCTTCCTCGGCAGTCCCTCCTCGGCCACAGGAGGCCGCGCCGCGCCAGGGGAGTTCAGGGACCTGGATGGGCAGAGAAGCTCCGGGTCAAGGGACGGAAACAAATCCACCGTCGGGAAAGAGGGGTGACCATTCGGGGGAGAGCTGGCCCCCAGCTCACCGGGGCCAAGGCTGTCACTGGGTCCAGCGCGCTAAGCCCCCTGCGGACCGTGGGCTCTGACGACAGAAAAGCAGTGAGACCAGCCTGCCCACGGCCCCCGCCCCAAACCAGACAGGAACCCCGACCCTCCCCAGTAGACGTCAGACGGAGCCGCCCACCGGACCCCCCGAGCACAGCACCCCTCCCAGCGTCCACCAGCTCTGCAGCCGTGGCTGTGCCACACGTGCCCTCTCTACCGCTCGGGCGGAGAGAATTGCCAGTCCTAGATGCCGCGGGGGCCTCAGAACCGGCCAGGTCCGCGGTGCCGATCACCGCGAGTCAGCCGGGGGTCCGGAAGTGCGCAGACCGCTCTCAGAGACCTCCAGACACAGCCAAGACGCCCCTGGACTGGACGGAACTACAATTCCCGGGAGCCTCCACGGTGAGGTACTTCCGGCCGGTGGTCCAGGCGTTTCCGGCCACGGAGTAGCAGGTGTGGGCGGGCGGGAATGGCGCGGTGGACGCCCAGTGGACCCGCAGGCTGAGAGTGAACGCACCCTCTCCCACGTCGTTGCCGGCGGCAGTCGCCCTGGGGGCTTCCCACCGGATCGGATCCGGGCTGTCCCCAGCCCTGCACCATGTTGAGGGGTGGGTTATGGCTGTCCCCCCGTGGCCCCCCGTTTGGACGCCAACCTGGGCTTGTCTGTCTGTACGCCACCTCCCCAGAAGTCTACTACTACCTGAGGGGCTCCATGTCGGGCACTTGATTTTGTAAAAAGAACCTCCTCCTATCCTTCAGTCCTCATGACTGTCCCGAAATAGGTATCGTTATGCCCATTTCACAGATGAGGAATCAGAGGCAGCCTTTCTCAATATTTTCACGATGGAGGAAGCCGTGAAATAATTCTCAGTTCTCAGGGAACCCTTGCCTAAATATTGTCTGCAGCTCATGGTAGAATAAGGCAGTCCTGAAGTTATACATATGAGATACTGAACATACAAGTGGACAACGGCCAGACCACGTACGGAGATAGGACTCTGACCTACCACCACCACAACCTCCCCCAGAAACCAGCTCCGTTGACCGCAATAAACAGCGCAGGAAGCCCGATCGCGATTTCCAGCAACGATCCAGGATGCTAAACAATCACTTCTGTAACAGACAGCCCCAAATAACCAGGACAGCTTTCCTAATGTTCGTCCTCACTTCTAACTCAGGACCAACCAGAGAAAAAGTCGATTATACACCCCTAACCCGTCACACAGGCTGCCCCACTTCCAGTTAGCCCGCCAGCCTCCAATGAAGGCATATTGGAAGCCTTCCTTTCGTCCCCACTGTAAAACTTTCCCATTCCCCTGCCTGCCTTTGAGTTTCTGCCAAAACGCAAGGAACAGTGACTGACTCCTTTGATATAGCAAGCTCTGAATAAATAGCCTTTGCCTGTTCTCATTTGGTTATTTTCAGAGATATAATTAATTGTCAATATTTTTCTGTAGATTTCTGTTTATTCTGGCCAGCTAGTCTTTTTGTGCGATATTCCCCTCATCATTTGCCATTAAACATTTATTCTTCAAAATTCATCAAGTGAAGGTAAAGGAATTTAAAGCTTATGATGATGCTTTTTATATGCTTGTAGCATTTATACTGCTAAGGTTATTAAAGCTTAATGCTTTGGGATATCCTACGTTATAAAATAGTGCCAATAAATTGTACTGATTTTACAAGGTTGCTGGAATTGTCTATAGAGTTTGAATAACCAAGTATGATATCGGTCTAAAAGAGATATTCTTTAGGATATACGTGTATTGTGTGTGAGAGAGAGGTCAGGGGCAATGAACTTTATCATGTGATTTTTTTAAAAAAATCTATTAAAAGGATATAAATTTAAATTTTAACTATTAATATATTTGAATAGTAAGCTTATCAATGAATTCATTTTGCTTTATTGGGTAGAGCCTTTCACTGTTAGATTCAGTTCATGCTCTTTAAAAAAAAAAAGTAATCCTATTGCTTTGTAACATGAGGTTGCTTCTCCTTTTGTTTCTACTTCCTGTGTCAGGTTTGGGCATGGGGGATTTGAGTCCTTTGCAGATTCCGCAAAGCTTTATAGCTTTTGTTCTAGAGAAAGTTACTAACAGTAGAAATTATCCTGTTAAAAAACATTCAGAAAGATTCATTTGTGAACCTTCTGAGTGAAGAAACTTTTTACAGGATAATTCTCTTGGGGTTTCATGTCTTTTGCTTTGTTCTTTTCTTCCTGTTAAACTGATTTTGGTAATCTATATTTTTTCCAGATTGTTCTTTAATTCAGTATTTAAGTTTTTTACTAAGTTTTTTTTTTTATTAAGCCTATTACTTTAAATGTCCAGATCTACTTTTAGAGAGTTTTCCCAGAATTGGTATCTCTTTTGTATTGATTAGCACAACCAGAGATTTATCACTTATGTTTTTCCCCAAAGACTAGGCTTTAGATTTGCTTATGAATTCAATTTTTTTCCTCTCTAGTGAGAGAGAGAATAAAAGTCTTACGGTTATCTTCTCATACTTTAAATGTCCAGATCTATTTTTAGAAAGTTTTCCCAAAATTGGTATCTTTTTTTATAAAGATTTTTATTTATTTATTGAGAGAGAGAATGGTAGAGAGAGAGCATGAGAGGGAAGAAGGTCAGAGGGAGAAGCAGACTCACTGCTGAGCAGGGAGCCCGACATGGGACTCGATCCCGGGACTCCAGGATCATAACCTGAGCCGAAGGCAGTCGCTTAACCAACTGAGCCACCCAGGCACCCAAAATTGGTATCTCTTTTGTATTGATTAGCACAACCAGAGATTTATCACTTGTTTATTCCCCCCCCCCCAAGACAAGGCTTTAGATTTCCTTATGAATTCAATTTTTTTCTTTTCTTCTCTGAGGAGAGAGAAAAAGAAAAGTCTTATGGTTATCTTCTATTAAGATTACAAGGAAACTACTTTAAAATAAATGGGAGCAGGGGCACCTGGGTGGCTCAGTCAGTTCAGCATCTGACTCTTGATTTTGGTTCCAGTCATGATCTCGGAGTCGTGAGATTGAGCCCCACCTGGGACTCTGCACTGAGCACAGAGTCAGCTTGAGATTCTCTCTCCCCCTCTGCCCCACCCTCCCCACCTCAAATAAATAAATAAATGAAATCTTTAACAAATAATAAAATAAATGGGAGCACTCCATTCAGGAGCATTCCGATGCTAATTACAAAAGGACAACAAAAAATGGACAGAGCTGCATTATTTAGGATGTGGATAAAACTCCTGTAAATAGAGAAGCCAAACTACAGTGGCTTAAAAAAAAATCATAGATGATTTTTTTTCCCCTCATACACACCTCTGGGCAGCTCCAAGGGAGTTAGAAAACCGAGCTCCTTCTAGATTACTCCTCTACCCTCCCAAGATGGCCAACCGCACAACTGTCCCTCACTCAGCAGTTAGAAGGAAGTGCATAGAATGAGCTTTCTTTTAGGGTACAATCCAAAAGAGGAGGCACAAGTCACTTCTGCACACACCCCATTGGGCAGGTCTCAGTCATATGACCCCTCCTATCTACGGAGAAGACTGGGAAATGAAGTCTTTATTCTGGGAGGGCAATGTTCCCAGCTAAAAATTGAGGATTTATTACTTTAGGAGCAGAGAACAGATATTGGGAGATAATAAGCAGTCTCTGCCATAGGAGATAAGAGAGCTTGCGGGATGTTATGGAGAATGCCAGCCAAATGAGTGAGGCAGATGGTGATATTAACCACAAGCCTCCCCCCACCTCATTGAGTTAGACTGTAGATAGCGTTGAATTTTATTTATTTTCTCCATTTCACCAGAGGACAAAATTTAATCTTCTGGGGATGGAATTGAAAATGATAAGCAGTAATAACTAGCCAGATATGCTGGATAGAGGAGGAGACAAGGGGATCTAACTGCTCTGATTATAGATTTTCATGTTTTTCAATTTATTTGAAAAACGTATGGTGTAACAAACCAAACAATACAAATAGAGAAAGCTAACACCCCTGCCCCCGTATTCTCAAATAACAAATGTAAATAGCCTAGTACCTATTCTTCCATATAATTCTCCCGCCTCTGTGTAATCATATAAAATCATACAAAGGCCATTCACATTTAATATGGTCATTAATATGTTTGGGTTTAAATCTCTCATCTTACTATTTGGTTTCTGTTTGTCCTATTTGCTTTTTATTCTCCTTTCCATATTTCCCTGCCATTTTTAGTTTGAAAAAAAAAATTTTTTTTTTTTTTAATGATTCCTGCCTTCGACCATCGGGCTGTGAAAACAGAATACCGTAGACAGGGCGGCTTATAAACAGCAATCATTTCTCACAGTTCTGGAGGCTGGGAAGTCCAAGATCAAGGTGGCAGCAGATTCAGTGTCTAGGGAGGACCTGTTCCCAGGTTTATAGATGCAGGACTTCTCACGGTGTCCTCACATGGTGGGAAGGGGGAGGGAGCTCTCTGGGGTCTCTTTTATAAGGCACAAATTCTACTGATGAGGGCTCCACCCTCAGGACCTCCCAAAGGCCTCGCCTCCTAATATAATCACATTCGGGGTTAGGTTTCAACATAGGAATTTGGGCAATGTGGATGCGGGGGTGGGGTGGGGGGACACATATTCAGTCTATAGTATAGAGGCCACTTTCAGGCAACAGGCTTGAGCAATGGAAACATGAGTAAGGCACAAGGGCCCACAGTGGCCACCGGGCTGAATGCAAACAGGCCCATCAGGCGACCCACCCTGAAATAGCCATAGGCCCTAACTCACCAATGGGCTACTTGCGGGCGGGCACAGGTACCACAAAAGGGAAATTCTGTATGTTCCCATA